CTCTTCAGTATCCTGATAGATTGTCGAAGTTTTTCACCATGACGATTACACATTCGAGTGACATTGATTTAGCCTCAGCAACCTCAAGGTGCTGTATCATTACTTCGTCGCCCACCAAAGGCTTTCGACAAATGAAAATCTTGTGGTTACCTAACGACGGTTTTCTGCGCCACATCATCCTCTGCTGCTACCATGATGACACAGCGATGACACATACAGGATAGCGCGTTGTGGCAAAGAGAAGATCAAGTGGCGGAAAAGCCGACCAACAGCCTAGACAGTACGCCCAAGTCGTAAAGAGCCCTCTTTGGCCATTAGTGTCATGGTCCTTAGGAATAGGTCCGCGGGTGAAACCCTCATCATGATTCTTGCATGAAAAGTCATATCTTACAATCACAGCTCCATTTCGTGAGATAACGTATTAGCGCTTCTCCAGGCTATTTCAGTGAAGTTTGCCAACCATGGCGCTTAGGTCCACTGCGTAATAAACGTCCAGTTTGGACTCATTTGTATTCTGCTGGCTAAAAATTTTGCCGCAAAATTTGTTTCAATAACTTCATAGACAGGGTAAAAGGTACTACGACAGTTTTACATGAAGTTGAGAAATTAAAACGAGCCACCCTGTCTGCTGCCGCCAGCTTCGAGTAGCTTCGGATATCATGTCAACAGCTGATTTTTCCCCACTAATTTTTACACAACACAATGAGGACACCTCATCCTCCTATGACAGGAACGCCGCAAGAGTGTATAAGCAGAGAGGAACGGTATAATAATGCAGCGTATTTTGGTGGGTTTTTTGTCAGACCAAGCATTGACTGACAGAACTGGAACTTGAAGCAAACTTTATCAGCACTCCATACAACGATCACGACTTCCCGATGGGTAGCATTATCCATGAGAACGATAAATTTACCACAGAGTTCCTAGTGTTCCTAGTGTTTCTGTCTACTCAGCAGGGTATTCAAATTAACAAGTGCTCATCAAACTCCACGGAACACTCAGCAAAGACGTTTTGCAGATACGGGTGATAGCTTTAAACAAGAACCTGTTCTGGGTTGTCCTGCATCTCCCGTTATTCTAAGGAAGCTTAAATACAAAGTATCCATCTGGGTTTGACCCCATTCGGTGACCTCACTTACCCAGATCACCATGCCCGATTTTTCGTAATCTCGTTTTTGAACATTTAGAGTATTTTATTTTATAGTCATGATACGGCGCAATATAGCGCGTTGTGGCAAAGAGAAGATCAAGTGGCGGAAAAGCCGACCAACAGCCTAGACAGTACGCCCAAGTCGTAAAGAGCCCTCTTTGGCCATTAGTGTCATGGTCCTTAGGAATAGGTCCGCGGGTGAAACCCTCATCATGATTCTTGCATGAAAAGTCATATCTTACAATCACAGCTCCATTTCGTGAGATAACGTATTAGCGCTTCTCCAGGCTATTTCAGTGAAGTTTGCCAACCATGGCGCTTAGGTCCACTGCGTAATAAACGTCCAGTTCGGACTCATTTGTATTCTGCTGGCTAAAAATTTTGCCGCAAAATTTGTTTCAATAACTTCATAGACAGGGTAAAAGGTACTACGACAGTTTTACATGAAGTTGAGAAATTAAAACGAGCCACCCTGTCTGCTGCCGCCAGCTTCGAGTAGCTTCGGATATCATGTCAACAGCTGATTTTTCCCCACTAATTTTTACACAACACAATGAGGACACCTCATCCTCCTATGACAGGAACGCCGCAAGAGTGTATAAGCAGAGAGGAACGGTATAATAATGCAGCGTATTTTGGTGGGTTTTTTGTCAGACCAAGCATTGACTGACAGAACTGGAACTTGAAGCAAACTTTATCAGCACTCCATACAACGATCACGACTTCCCGATGGGTAGCATTATCCATGAGAACGATAAATTTACCACAGAGTTCCTAGTGTTCCTAGTGTTTCTGTCTACTCAGCAGGGTATTCAAATTAACAAGTGCTCATCAAACTCCACGGAACACTCAGCAAAGACGTTTTGCAGATACGGGTGATAGCTTTAAACAAGAACCTGTTCTGGGTTGTCCTGCATCTCCCGTTATTCTAAGGAAGCTTAAATACAAAGTATCCATCTGGGTTTGACCCCATTCGGTGACCTCACTTACCCAGATCACCATGCCCGATTTTTCGTAATCTCGTTTTTGAACATTTAGAGTATTTTATTTTATAGTCATGATACGGCGCAATTTTCCGTGTCCTCTTCAGACCCGAAATGGCTTTCCACGGCAGTTTTGCAGGGCACCATACCTCGGATCAAAACAAACCAAACTAAATATCGGAAACTCATTTATGGTTGAACAGGATAAAAAATATGAAAATACGAAATTTTAGAGCAGAAATCGGGTTGCTGTATCATAACGAGTTAACGGTCGTGGGAAATTTTTACCCCCAATAAGCCAGAACATACAAGTATGTTAGAAGGAACTCTGCCTATTTCAAGTAACGTCGGGTTCCCCCAAAGCCTCTTCCAACTTTAAAGGAGACTGTTATCACTCACAGTCAGTTCCTTAAAGTAGGGAGATCAATATTGGATAATCTTTCACAAGTTCAGGTAAAAATGAATTGGCACTGTCTACGAGAATATCAGCGTAGTGTCTTGTACTGTAAATATGGTCAGAAATATGTGCGGAAATCTTCACCTAATTGACATGCAACGGTAACGAACAATAGCCAGGATTCAATTTCCCGCTACGATGAATTACATGAAGTCAGAAAAATCGCACCGCAGAGCAAGCACAGTAAGCTCAAGACCTAGAAGTAAAAGCAGTAACTAACTGCTTACCGTCTTGTGCCTGAACATCCTCGCAACAGGGCTCATAACAGCATGATGCAGAGGGTACGGCGTACTTGAAGGCAACTGATGGTAGTGTCCATCCGTTTGCTATATCGCGTCTCATCCTTTCTACATCTGGTATTACGGATGTAGGATCTGGAAGCTGGCTGGCTTCTGAGACAGTTTTAGAAGTGATAGCCTCCAGATCAGAATTGCATTCGCTATTGTCACAATATTTTGTAGGGGGACATAATTTCCAGGATGCACTTTCTGCATCATTTCTTTGGGTCACATAATCCGGGACGTTGAAGTCCAACTGAATCGGGTTCACCGTGTCACCGATCTTCCAGAGGGGTTCCCCTTGATGTAGAACGTTGTTGTCTGACGTCATTAAACACGGATTTACTTGGTTTGCCAGTTTTGGTCTTGTGAATGGATTTGGGGGTTTCACTTGATGGTATAAGCGGCGGTTGGTGAGTTCAAACCGAAAATCTCTGTTGAAACCTGTTTGCATCGAATGAGAAGACCGTCAACGAGAACAAAAGTACTGAACTAACAAAAAAGACACTAAGTTCACGTTTTCAGTCTTCGAAGTGACAGACAATTTCGTTTCTACTTTTACCACAACGAGGGGTAAGGGCACCCTCAGATGCATCTGGTCATAAGGCTACTGATGATTATCGAGAGTAGTTAGCTCATTTTTGACGTATTCCTGATTTTCTTCTGGATAGCGTTGCACAACATTCGTTGGAAAGGGCCAGTTGAATTTCTACCGAAAAAGTAAGGGCAAAACAAATGTAAAGTCGATCAACCTTGATCGATTGCACCGGAGTTGATTTGAATTTTCCTCTCCGTAGTTACCGAGGAAATATCAACTATGATGCGATTTACGGCGGACGATCCTAGGTCAACGCAAGAAGCAAGTGCCCGCTGAATTTAAAGTGGGGAGTCAGTGAAACTAGTCCAACCTCATATTTCTGGAGTTGATGACCATGGACACCTTTGTCAACATGTCTAATTTGTATGATATTCTTTCACGAAGCCAAACTAATGAACGAAATATGTCTGCTTGGTTTTCAAGCAACAAATAGGATGTTCTTGAACTATTTCTGAGCTAATAGGGTAATTGGAAAAACAGTGAGGACTATTGGCACTTAATGTATTGACCCTACTGCCTGTCAGTTTTCAATGTTTAGTGATCGGCGGGCTTTCCTTGTCAATACACCCAAGTTTAAAATCATTGATAATTGTACAGGTCTGTAACCAGCTTAAAGAGCGCCTGCAATTGTCAGCACATCTGAGATGCTCGGCTTGTTCTTTACTTTTCTTATTGCAAAGGGTTGGGTGGTAAATGAGGAGTTTTCGTATGGTCTCCACTAATATAGAAACGGTAAGATCGACCTGAAGGTAAAAAAACAGATTAAAGGTAGCACAACAAAAGGATCAACAGTTGGTTACGTGGATACGACCTGAAAATCCCATCCCGTGTATCCCCTGTTATACCAGCATTCGTTCAAATACAACCCTCGCCTAACCTCTCGTGCCGATTTCTACAAAGTATTTTTCGCTACGACCCTTATTATACCGTGTTTATCAAAGTACACGACATCTAACAACTTTTGCAGGCTTTAAGCACCTCAAAAATGAGTCGAGGAAGCAACGTTATCGCAGGTACATCATACTAAGTTTTCCGCTTCTACTCATACTCCAAAGAGCCAACAAAATAGATTCTCCAGTTGTGTGTGTACGACTACAGCTAGCTCATAAAATGACTGATGTTAATAGACAAATCACCAGCCATCTGATATCAGCTCCACTGTCTGGCATAATCCAGGAATTCTTCCTACCTTACTTCAACCAACTGGCCTTGGCAAACACAATTCCTTTAACCAAAAGCAAGCAGAGTAGTCTTTCCAATGAAAACTGAGTTGTGCTACTCACACCAGTCAACAGGAGTCTGTTTTAGACTGTCCGTTCAATACTAGGAAATTACTTGTGACCTTAATAGTACGACTACCATCGTTGTTTCTCTGCATGAATCTATCCGACAGCTTACCCTAAAAGGCCTCATCGATGTTTACGGTACGATAAACGCGATGGATTCTAACTGGTGGTACACAAGTCCTTTAATTTTGCGGTAAATGAAACACTGGAATTTATCCGTGGAGGAGATTGTCAAACTAATTGGTGAGGAAAAGGATAGTATAACACCTTAAGTATTCGGCAACCAAGGCAATTATGAAAGAATTTACGAAAAGCCGCCGAGATCAGTGTGAGCACTTTAGGACGTCAGTGTAAGTTTATCAGAAAGCTTTGGGAGACAAAGAAGGAGAAACAAAAAACGGTTTTCTGTAAGATTAGTCATCTCAAGCGTTCTCGACCATTGAAAACAGTTCTCCGTTATGGTTCATGGTGGGAAATACGACCTACGTTTTCCGTAGTAAAAATTCATGGATATTTTAGGAATAGGGTATGCCACCATATGGAATTAGTGATACGAGCAACCTCGGTTACCGACACCTTCGGTTTTCCGTAGAAAAAATCATGGATATTTTAGGAATAGGGTATGCCACCATATGGAATTAGTGATACGAGCAACCTCGGTTACCGACACCTTCGTAAAACAGGCGGCCTGAGCACAAGCATTTCCTCCAGAAATGGAAAACGTCTTTGGAACACGAGCAAATTTTACTGTGGGTTTTTAGGCTTGCCGACACTTTTTGACAAAGATCCGTACGTCCCAACAGCTGCTTTACATGAATCAGGGCCCCAGAAAGGTCATAGAAACGAAGAAACCATCCAACAATTACTGTAGTGTAGTTAATTTGTCAGACAGACCACTGAGTGAAGACGAACGCTGTCTGTTAGAAAAGGGGATAAACTTCGCTGTGAGCAAAAAAGTAATAACAGCGGAGGAGATAATTCCTAGTGTAGAGTCAGTGTTTCAAAAGCTTCCTTCAGCGGAAGCTGAGAAGCTACGGATACAACCGGTCACAGTCCTGAAATCCCAACAGCCGGGAGCTCCAAATATTGCACCATCAGAGCGGAGAGCGTTGAACACACTGAGACAGGTAGATAGTATTGTCATTACCAAGGCCGATAAGGGTAAAGCCACAGTAGTGATGAATAAGAGCGACTATCTTCAAAAGGTCAGGCAACACCTCGCCGATGGACCCTACCGACAAACTACCGGTAGCAGTATTACTTCAATAATGAATAAGAGTAAGGTTGAAGTTGGGAGATATTTAAGATCCGTAATAAACCATTTAGGGCAAGGTAAGTGGTATCGGTTGTATCCAAAAGTTCGATTCAACCGCGACTCTACGGAATGCCAAAAATCCACAAGGCAGATGTACCGATAAGGCCAATAGTGGATGGTATAGTCTCGCCGCTGCATGAACTGGCCAGATTCTTAGCCAGTATACTATAACCGCTCACGGGCAAATCAAGCACCTTCATTAGGAATTCGTACGACTTTGCCAACAAGGTCACAGGGCTTCCTTTGGAGATGGACGAAGTCCTCGTGAGTTTTGACGTAATATCAATGTACACAAACATCCCTAGGGCAGATGCTCTGGAGATAACTAAGAGGTTGTTACTGGCAGACACGACACTTGGGGAACGGACGCAGCTCTCGGTGGATGATTAGGTTGGGGGTATAAGAGTGTGTTTGAGTCTTGATAAGTTTGTTTCTGACACAATTGTTTACTCACAAGAACAAGGCAGGCCAATGGGATCTCCAATATCCCCAGTTTTAGCCAATATTTACATGGAGGACTTCCAACAAATAGCCTTGGCCGGATATAATTGTCCACAGCATCCACTTACTTTACACTCAACAGAAAACTATTATGACTGGCCGTGTTCAGGAGGAGATAACCATGTAAAAATCCATATGGCCGTCTGGTTTAGCCCAACCGGCGTTTGAGTCTTCGAAACACGTAAAAATATCGACTAAATGGCTCGTTCCAACTATTCAAGGGACTCTACAAACTTTTGTCAGTCACATTTAGGTCTTGCAGTTTTGAAGATTTTAGCGACGACTGTGGATGACTCACGCCTACGCAACTCGCTTTCGATCCTCCCTCTGTACAGGAAGCACACTTGGATCAATGATGGACGTCATTAAATTTAGTGTTTCTAATCGCACAAAAATTTTCATTTGCTCTCCTCAGTATCCATTTCACTTGCATTTAACCCAGGACTGTCACCCGAACCAGCCACTACGGTCATTAGTCACTACGTACGCATTCACGTCACTGACAAACACAGTGTTGTCTGTGCATCTCGCCCTTTCAACGGAGCACCTACTGTGTAATGACTAACGTTTTAGGTAGTTTCCGAGCTTCACTCCACTAGAATCCAGGTAGGCGAATAAAGCAAACATGAGCCGTCTTCACAAAATTCCCCCCCAAAAAACATGTAGCAGCAGGTATCCGGTCAAGCGGAGGTGCCTCTTTCTGACAAAATTTGCTTACTCCCTGTCTGCACATATCTAGCTGCGGTTATACCACCAAGATTAGACGTCGAAAACCCAGAAGAGGGTCATGACGCTACCTCTTACCCTGGACGCTTCACTACAACAATCTATTAGGCCCAATGTGCTGAGCACTGAATCTTAGAGGTTCATTTCAAGTGTTTAGGATCACTTCTGCGGGGGAAAAGTAGGTGGTGCAGCTGTAGCGCAGCAAACAGTACAGTCTGTTATAACTGTTGAAACGGGGGGCGTTAAGACCTGACTGAGTGTGAGGTGCGAAACAAATAGACAGGACGAACAAAAAAGAGGTCAGTTAGGCTTTTATAGAGCAGTAGTGACTCCAACAGGCACCCAGTAACACGAGTCGCTTGCCAACTTGGACCAGCCGTTTATAGCCTTATAAAATTTAGTGTGGATCCGTCCCTAATCGAGAAAGACCGTTATCTGTGTCCTGCGTAACAACCTTCCAAAACAACCGTGGGTATCTGTTCTTCGTGAGCATCAGTAGCAATAGCCTGTCTGTCCCGCACTCCACAAAGTTTCACTATTCGTCACTATAGCCTGAATACGGTGTTCATTGTGACAAGCAATTCAACAAAAAGGACTGCCATGTGCCAACCAGGTAGCAATGCTGTTAAATCTGGGAATTCGGCTAAAAGCGACTTGGGGATTCCAAAATAAACCTTGATCCTATGGGAGTTTTGTAAGTCTGCTTCTTCCGAGATAAAAAGAAGCCAATCTACCAGTCAAACAGCAGAATTCGGTGCTAAAGGAAATCCAACACCCGTCTCGTCCTGTTTGGTACTCTTCAGTGGGATGTGGCAGGGTCCGATCTCCTCATGTTCAAAGTCCACGCTCGCAACTAAGACATCAAGTGGTCACCAAACTCCATCATGCTTGCTAGTAAATTTTGT